TTCAGCTCAGGTCATGATCTTATGGTTCTTGAGTTCAAGTCATGCATCAGGCTCTCAGCTGTCAGCACAGGGCCCACTTTGGATCCTCTGTCCCCCTCTCTCTCTGCCCCTCCTCCACTTGTTCTCTCTCATTCTTTCTCAAAATAAAATAAATTTTTTAAAAAACTTAAAAAACCCCCCAAAACTCCCAACAAACAAAAGTCCTGGACTAGATGGCTTCACAGGGGAATTCTACCAAATATTTAAAGAGTTAATACCTATTGTTAAAATTTTCCAAAAAATAGAAGTAGGAAAACTTCCAAATTCATTTTATGAGGCCAGCATTACATTGAGGCCAACATTACACTGATACCAAAACCAGATAAAAACATCACAAAAAAGGAGAACTACAGGCCAATATCTCCGATGAACATAGATGCAAAAATCCTCAACAAAATATTAGCAAACTGAATCCAACAATACATTTAAAAAATCACTCACCATGATCAAGTAGGATTTATTCCTGGTTTGCAAGTGTGGTTCAAGATTTGCAAGTCAATGTGATACATCACAGTAATAAGAGAAAGGATAAAAATCATATGATCACTTGGATAGATGCATAAAAAGCATTTGAGAAAGTACAACATCCATTCATGATGAAACCCTCAACAAACTAGGTTTACAAGGAACATATTTCAACACAATAAAGGCCTTATATGGAAAGCCCACAGCGAACTGTAGGACCATGTCAGGGTCCCCAACTGTGGGTTTGACTTATCACATTGGGGTCACCAATTGTGGGTTCAGCTTTCAACATTGTCCAGCAAAGCCAAGGATGGCAGAAAGGATTACTCAAGACTCCATGCAAGTCAAGAGAGGTGAGAGGGAGGCTAAGGGAAGACTCTCTGAGCTGCATTCAAGCTCTTGTATTTATTAGTCATACATTATAGGGAAAACATTGTGCAATATGTCCGTGCCAGTAAGAACTATAGAAAGCATGCAAAAAACAAGGCATTCCCAAGAGTACAAAAGAGCAGATGCCGAAAGTAGGGTGAACAAGATAAGATATTCCATAGATAGGATGGTCTAAGGAATTTTTGAGCACAGGCAGGACCCAACCCTTAAATACGCATTAACTAGATACTTTCAGCAGGGCCAGAAAGCAGTGTAATGCCTTCTTTATAACCTCCTTAACCAGAACATAGCTATTAGATTACCCACAGCAAACATCACAGGCAATGGGGAAAAACTGAGAACTTTTCCCCTGAGGTCAGAAACAAGAGAAGGAAGTCCATTCTCACCACTTTTATTCAACATAGTACTGGAAATTTTAGCTACAGCAATCAGAAAACAAAAAGAAATAAAAGCACCTAAAGTGGTAAGGAAGAAGTACAACTTTCACTATTTGCAGATGACACGATTCTATATACAGAAAACCCTAAAGACTCCACCGAAAAACTACTACAAGTGACAAATGAATTCAGTAAGGTTGCAGGATACAGAATCAACGTACAGAACTCTGTTGCATTTCTATACATTAATAATGAAGCAGCAGAAAGAGAAATGAAGAAAACAATCCCATTTACAATTGCACCAAAAATAATAAAATACCTAGGAATAAACTTAACCAAGGAGGTAAAAGACCTGCACTCTGAAAACAATAAAACACTGATGAAAGAAATTGAAGACAGCACAAAGAAATGGAAAGATACCCTACGCTCTTAGATCGGGAGAACAAATATTGTTAAAATGTCCATGCTGCCCAAGCAATCTACAGATGTAATACAATCCCTAACAAAATACCAATAGCATTTTTTCACAAAACTAGACAAATAATCCTAAAATTTGTATGGAACTACAAAAGACCCTGAATAGCCAGAGTGACCTTGAAAAAGAAAAATAAAGTTGGAAGTACACAATGCCAGATTTCAAGTTATACTGCAAAGTGATAGTAATCAAAACAGTATAGTACTGACATCAAATAGACATATAGATCATTGGAACTGAATAGAAATCCCAGAAATAAACCCATAATTATATGGTCAATTAATCTCGGACAAAGAAGGCAAGAATATGTGTATACCAGATTATATCTCTGTATTTATCCTACTTGGAGTTTATTGAGTTTTGGATATGTAGATTAATATTTTTTCAACATATTTAGTACATTTTAGCCATTATTTCTTCGATTTTTTTCTCCTTTTACTTATTTCTCTCCTTAGTACTCTCATTACTTGAAAGTGTACTTAAAGGTGTCTCATACTTATTCTGAGACTCTTTTTTTCATGCTATTTTTCTCTCTGTTCCTCTGATTGTACAATCTCTATCAATCTATCTTCAAGTGTACTGTTTCTTTGTTTTGCCGATTCAAATCTATCACTGAGTTTCTCTAATGGCTCTTTTTTAAAAAAAATTATTAATTTTGAGAGAAAGAGAGAGTACCCATGCATGTGTGAGCTGGGGAGGGGCAGAGAGAAAGGGAGGGAGAGAATCCCAAGCAGGCTCCGCACTGTCAGTGCAGAGCCGGACTCAGGTCTCAGTCTCACGAACCATGAAATCATGGCCTGAGCCAAAATCAAGAGTCCGTACGCTTAACTGACTGAGCCACCCAGGTGACCCTCTAATGACTCTTCATTTCAGTTATTCCACTTTTTAATTCCAAAATTTCTGTTTTTTTTCATAATTTCTGTCTCTTTATTGATATTCTATATTTGATGGGATATTGTCATCATAAATTCCTTTACTTCTTTAATTTTTTTTTCAACGTTTTTTATTTACTTTTCGGACAGAGAGAGACAGAGCATGAACGGGGGAGGGGCAGAGAGAGAGGGAGACACAGAATCGGAAACAGGCTCCAGGCTCTGAGCCATCAGCCCAGAGCCTGACGCGGGGCTCGAACTCACGGACAGCGAGATCGTGACCTGGCTGAAGTCGGACGCTTAACCAACTGCGCCACCCAGGCGCCCCCTTTACTTCTTTATACATCATTTCCTTGAGTCCTTGGAATATATTTATAAGAGGTACTTTGAAGTATTTGTCTGTTAATCTGACATCTCATCCCTCTTGGTCAGTTTCTTTTGTTCCCATGTGTAGTCTGTACTTTCCTCTTTCTTTGCATGTCTCAATGTGTTTTTTGAAAACTGGACATTTTGGGTAATATTTTGTGGTTATGGATTCTGATTTCCCTCCCCTCCCTCTGGGGCCTATTTTTGTTCTTATTTATTTTTGGTGGTGGTGGTAGAGATTGGTGTGTGTATGAGAATTAACTAGCTTGTTTTAGTAAGGTCTGTTTTCTCTCACTGTGTGGTATCAGTCTTTGGAGGGCACTTCCTTGGACATGCACACAGTCCCTCTGGAAGTCAGTGGGGCTGAAGCCTCCACTCTTAATCACATTCTGAGACTATCCAGTGTGGTCCAAGGCACCCAGGTAGACAAAGATGCTTATTAGGCAGGGCATTTCAAGGGATTAGAGATCACCTTCCAGGAGCTCAGGGCAAAGGCCAGACCTTTTTCTGGGCAAAGTTAATTCTTTACTACACAAAGTATGAAGATTTCCATGCTGGTGGGAGTGGGTTGTGTATTCACGAGTGTAAAGGTGGCTAGTGGCAGGTTAGAGAATTACTGATGAGGTGACAAATGAAGAAGGGATAAAAGCCATTAACACATGACATAGACGAAAGACATGCATGGAATTAATCAGCTTTTTTTATCATTACTTCCCTCAATATAGTGTCAGGAAGACCACAATAGAGATATAATAAAACCAAAATCACAAGCAAAAGAAGAGCCAAGTTGTATCTCTGTGCTAGAGGATTGGGGTATGTGTTTTACAGAATATCTAAACAAGGAAAGCTGCCTAAATTGAGCATAAAGGGAATTTATAGCAAAAAGTTACAGCAATGGGGCACCTATGTGGCTCGATCTAAGTGTCTGACGTCAGCTCAGGTCATGATCTCGTGGTTGGTGAGTTTGAGCCCCACATTGGGATCTCTGCTGTCAGATAGAGCCCACTTCGGATCCTCTATTCCCCTCTCTCTGCCCCTCCCTGCTGGTTCTCTCTCTTTCTCTCTCTCGCTCTGTCTCAAAATAAAAAAATAAACTTAAAGGGGTGCCTGGGTGGCTCAGTCGGTTAAGTGTCTCACTTTGGCTCAGGTCATGATCTCGTGGTTCATGGGTTCGAGCCCTGTGCCAGGCTCAGTACTGACAGCTCAGAGCCTGGTGCCTGCCCTGGATTCTGTGTTCCCCTCTCTCCCTGCCTCTCCCCTGCTCACGTTCTCTCTTTCTCTCTCTCTCAGAAATAAACATCAAAGAGCTACAGCAATGGGCATCAAAGCTTTTGTTATGTGATAAAATGAAAAGCACCAAATCCTCCAAAAAAAATGTGTCAAATGGATCTTTGTGCTACTCCGTTGTACAGAAATACGTCTTACTCATTTCCTCATTTTTCATCTTAAGCTATTTATTTTATTTATTTATTTAATTTTTAAAAGTGTATTTATTTATTTTGAGAGCGAGAGTACAAGCAGGGGAGGAACAGAGAGAGAGGGGAAGAGAAAATCCCAAGCAGGACCCACACTGTCCTGAGCTTGATGTGGGGCTCGAACTCATGAAATGTGAGATCATGACCTGAGCTGAGATCAAGAGTCGGACACTTAACTGACTGAGCCACCCAGGTGCCCCTTATTTTTTTACTTGAGATTGAGTGTAAGCAGGGGAGAGGGGCAGAGGGAGAGAGAAGGAGAGAGAGTGAAAGAGAATCTTAAGCAGTCTCCATGCTCACCATGGAGCATTATGTAGGACTTGATCCCACAACCCTGGGATCATGACCTGAGCTGAAATCAAGAGTTGGAAGCTCAACCAACTGTGCCACCTGGGCATCCCTCATCTTAAGCTATTTCTAAGTTATAAATTGTTATAAATTGTTAAAAACAAAATTTTAGACTCAGAAAATTTGGGAGCAAGAAAGGTCTTAAAGCTCCTTTAAGTCCAATTTTTTATTTTAAAGCTGGCCCTTGAACTGCCTGTGTAAGAATCTTCTGGGCAGATTTCCCAGCTTCATCCACAGAGATTCTGGTTCAGCAGGTGAGAGGGGTTGGGGATGGAACACAGCAATCTCCATTTTCATAAGCATGCCACTCTCATTCTACCTATCTCTCCTTCAAAATATTTTATGCACACAATTACTTCCTCATGATGATTTGTTTAGACAAGCCTCAGGAAAGTATTTGTTTCAATGGAGTATCTGACACCTAGAAAGCCCTCAGTAAGTGTTTTCAGTTAACTCTCCTAACAGACCTAGATTCAAGGATTTAGACAGAAGGGTGGAGGGTTTCTGTATTGAGGTCACCTGGAGAGACTAAGGTAATGAACTAGCCTCAGTCTCTGCCTAGATGTCACCAGGTGGTGATACTCTTTTGTTACATTTTACCTTTATTTCATCATAATAAGAGTTTATTTTTTACAAACCCAGGCATGTCTTACCTACTAAAGCGAGTAAGATGAGGGAAGTTTCCTCACTTTTCTTAGACACCCTTGTTCTTTGGTGGGAGCTTGGACCAGCCTTGGCCAGGTAATTGACTTGCAGACTAAACGTTGAGAAACATCGCTTTAGACCAATGCATCATGTATAGTGAACACTGAGAGTTAAATGACTTGTCCGGGGTTATATCAATACTTTGTGAATACACTAGTTCAAATGATTACCTGCATAGTCCCCTAAATGGAATCACCAGCTTAAGGATATTAGCTCTTTTATGGTTTATTGCTAGGGTAGATTTTATGAAAACTAAAAAAATTGCATTGCTGCAAATTATCCATTACATCTATGTGTTAGCAACTATGCATTCCTCCTCTGCCCTCCAACCCCCCTTTTATCAACAAGTGCTTCCAATCTTAAGCTTTAATTTACTTTTAATATTTAATAGATATGTAATTGTGCCCTAAAATGTCCATTTCCTTATTAAAGAAACCCAGCAAGACTGCATTTTTCATTTTGGTAAGCTGATGTCTGCAAGTCTGCATGTGTAAATGGTTTGTCCATGTTGACTGTAAATCAGGTAGAGTAACGTACTGATCTTATACATTTGAGATTTTTGCTCAATAATTTGGATAGTAAACCTTTATCAATAGTTTATTACACATTTCTCTCTTTGACTGACTTTCTTTTAATATTCTATATTTTTACAAAAGTTATATATTTTAGGTATATCTGAAAATGGACTCCCATTTTGTCATGTTCTTCCATAGCGTAAATAAATACATCAGTCCATTTTCCCTTCTAGATTTAAAAATAATGTTCAATGTTTAATGCTAGACTACTTGGAATTATTTTCAGAGTTAGTACATCAAATTTTGATGTATTAAAAAATTTCTTATCCCTCTTCTTGAATTATTTCTGCCCTACACTTCCTCTTTGTTTTCAGTGGTATGCGAATTTTCTCTTCCTTACTAAGGAGACTGTGGAGATGGAAACATTAACTGATCTGAGTCAGTGAGTACCAATGTCTTTCTGGAAAAAAAGGATGCCAGCCTTAAGATTATGATGATAATATTGCTATTACCACTACTACTATGATTATTAATCATCATCATCATCAAATAATGGCACCATATGATAGTCTTGTTCACTATTCTTTCTAGATAAATTTCACTATTAATTTGTCAAGAGAATGGGCTGGAGACTATAACTGGTATTTAATTTAATCTATCTTAAATTTAATCTAACATGTTAATATTCTACTTAGACTTCTTAGATAGGAAAAAGTCATACGTCTTCATAAATTTATCTGCCCTCCCTCTATTAGAGTTTTGCGTTTTCTTGTAAGTAAATCCCTTCTATTAGATGGTGAAATAATCAGGTTAAAGGAGACTTTCATAACTTATGTATTTCATTTTTATCAAATAACATGTAGAAATTAAACATATTTGGTATCCTATATGAAAAGGCAGAATACATAATGCTGTGTAAAAAATATATCTTCATTTTGGAAAAGGTTAGAAAGAATTATACAAAGATTTAGGAGATTACGGTAATTTTTCCTTTTTGGCAAATTTTCTTTAATGATATTATTAAATTCTTATGAGAAGAAGTTTATTGATTGAGAAATGTTGATTCCTAGAATCAACGATTATTATTTATGTTCACTTTATGTATATTGCCCATTTAAATTATATTTCTCCTATTTTAACTCTTTTGTATTTGCTGTCTGTTTTCTCTCATTAATTTGTTCTTCAACAAATATTTAATAATGCAGAAGTTAGTTTCACTGATTAGATTTTCTTTTTCTTTTTTCATTATTTGAGTTAATAGGGTTTGTATTAAAATTTTTGGCAGAATCAGCTATTGGTGTTGTTAATTTTATCTCTCCTCAAAATATGTTTATTCTTAGTTTTATTATTTCCCTTTTCCTACTTTCTCTTGGCTTGCTATTTAGTTTAGTTTAGTTTTGTTTTGTTTCAAACTAAAGTAGAAACCCAGTTGATGTTTCTTTTTGTTTCTTAGCTCTGGAAACCTCTAGAGCAATACAATTTTCCATAATGTTCTGCTTTTGCAATAGTCCATAAATTTTGACATAATGCATTTGTATATCCTGTTATTCTGTAATTTAGCTAAACATTAGGAAAGCATATAGAAATATACTTCTATTTGGACACTTTTTAAGAAGATTTTATTTTTAAGTAATCTCCATACCCAGTATGGGGCTTGAACTCACAACCCCAAGATCAAGAGTCACATGCTCCGCCAACTAAGCCAGCCAGGCACCCCTTCTATTTGAACACTTTTAAGTTCTACTGTTGTTGTGTATCATTTTGTTGTGATTTGAGTATGTGGTTTGCAGATTTCTGCCTTTGTGCATTTCCTAGTTATATCATTGTTTCCCAAATATGGTTACTTTTTGTGGAAAAGCCTACAATAGCTTGGAAAAAATATGTTTTCTTGCCTTATCATTAAGGTTTTTAAAAATGAATTGGACTATTGCTACCTAATGTATTATTTTATTCAACTTTCTGTTTTTAAGAAAACATTTGTCTATGTGTTTTGTCTTGTCATATTTTTCCTCATAATGGAGTATTGAGTTTTTTAAGTATATTTTTATTCCTATTTCTTTTTGCACTTCAGGCACTTTCTAGTTTAGGTATTTTGTTACTATATTGTTTGAGATATATAATATCAGTATTGTTAGGTTTTCTCTTTTTATTTTATTTTTTCCAGTTTTTATTTAAATTCTAGTTAACATATAGTGTAATATTAGTTTCAGGTGTGGAATTTAGTGACTCATCACTTCCATACAATACCCAGTGCTCATCACAAGTGCCCTCCTTAATCCCTATCACCTATTTAACCCACCCCCCCTCCACCTCCCCTCCAGTAACCATCAGTTTGTTCTCTATAATTAAGAGTCTGTTTCTTGGTTTGCCTCTCTTTTCTGCCTCCCTCCCTCAACTCTTTTTAATATACCTTATATAATTATATAAGGAGCTTGTTTACTTCATAATTCTTTTGGTAAGAAATCTACCCTATTCACTATCATGATAGTAATCCCTACTTTTCTTGTATCAAAAAAATTCAATTTTCTTCATCTTCAATTTAGATCATCCTAGTTTTTACTTCCTGTACGTATTTTGGGTTTTAAGATGCCCTTTGAAAGCATCAGATTTACTGGATTCCTTTTGAATCTAGATATTTATCTTTTTTTCATGGAAGTATGATACACATGAAGTTGATACACAAGGTCACATTAGTTACAGGTGTTTAACATAGTAAACCAACAAGTCTATACATTATGCTATGTTCATCACAAGTGTAGCTACCATCCGTTGCCATACAATGCTATTACAATACCGTTGACTATATTCCCTACATTGTACCATTTATCCCTCTGACTTATTACATTACTGGAAGCCTGTATCTCACACTCCCCTTCACCCATTTTGCCCATCCTTCCACCTCCTCCCCTCTGGCAACCATCAGTTTGTTTTCTGTATTTACAGGTCTGTTTCTGCTGTTTTTGTTTTTTTAGCTTCTGCATATAATGAAATCATATGGTATTTACCTTGCTCTGTCTGGTTTATTTCACTTAGCATAATAGTCTCTAGGTCCATCCATGTTCCAAATGGCCAGATCTTAGCCTTTTTATGGCTGAGTAATATTCCACTGTATATATACATTACATCTTCTTTATCCATTTATCTATTGATGGACCCATAGGTTGTTTCATCTTGGCTATTGTAAATAATGCTGCAATACACATAGGGGTGTGAAATATTTATCTTTTTTTGAAAGGAAGCTTAGCCAGGTGCGCCTGGGTGGCTCAGTTGGTTAAGTGTTCAACTTCTGATTTCGGCTCAGATCATGATCTCACAGTTCATGAGTTTGAGCCCCACATCGGGTTCTGTGCTCACAGTGCAAAACCTGCTTGGGATTCTCTCTCTCCCTCTCTCTCTGCCCTTCCCTAGTTTGCTTTCTTTCTCTCTCAAAATAAATAAATAAACTTAAAAATTTTTTTTAAAAAGGAGCCTTAGCCAAATCACATTTTATTTTAATCAATTCCTTTGCATTCACATTATTTAATTTCTACAAAAGCTTAAATATTGCTGCTACACTTTTTTTTTTCCTCAAAGGAAAACTAGATGAGTTTTCTTGTGCCTTTTTAAATGTATTCCTTCTGGGGTGTCTGGCTGGCTCAGTCAGTAGAGCATGCGACTCTTAATCTTGGGGTTGTAAATTCAAACTCCATGTTGGATGTAGAGGTTACTTAAAAATTAAAAAAAAAAATCTTAAAAAAATATATCCCTTTGTCCAATTGCATCAAGAATCAATCACTGATCTACTTTCTGTCACTAAAGATAAGTTTCTATTTTCTAGAATTATATAAATGGAATCATAAAATACATACTTTTCCTGGCATCTTTCATTCAGCATAATTGTTTTGGGATTCATCTATTTTATGGTGGGAATCATAGTTTATCCTTTCTGTAGGTAAGATAACTAAATCGTATTCCAGTGTATGGATATATCACAATTTGTTTATCCATTCAGCTGTCAGTGGACATTTGGGTTGTTTCTAGTTTTTGGATATTACACATAAAGCTGATATGGATATTTGTATACAAGCTATGATGTGGATATATGTTTTCATTTCTCTTGGGTATATGCCTAGGAGTGTGTCTTAGTCTGTTGGGGCTGCTATAACAAAATACCACTGATTGAGATAAACAATAGAAATTTTTTTCTCATAGTCCTGGTGGCTGGACGTCTGAGATCAGGATGCCAGCATGTTAGGCGAGGGACTTCTTCAGGGTTGCAGACTTCTCATTGTGTCTTCCCATGGTGGAAGGGGATGGGGAATTCTGTGGCACTTCTTTTATAAGAACACTAATACTATTCCTGAGGGCTTCACCTTTATGACCTAACCACCTTCCAAAGGTCCCACCTCCTAATACCATCACATCAGGCGTTAAGATTCCAACATATGAATTGGGGATGGTGGGGGGGGGGAGGGGCGATACACAAACATTTAGGCCATAGCTGAGTGCTGTTGCTGGGTTGTATGGTAACTTTATGATTAACCTTTTGAGAAATCAACAAGCTCTTCTACAATGAATGCACCATTTTACACACCCTCCAGTAGTTAGAAGAGTTGCAATTACTTCACCTTCTTAACAACACTTGTTATTGTCTGTTTTTGTAAAATTCTAGCCATGCTAGTATATATGAAGTGGTATCTTACTATGGTTTTGATTTGCATTTCCCTAATGACTAATGATATTGAGCATCTTTTTATGTGCTTAATGGCCATTGATATATCTTCTTTGGTTGTTGAAGTACAATTTATTACTTTTTCCCTTTATGATCCATGTTTTAGTATTCCTATCTAAGAAACACTGTTTATCCTTAGGTAAAAAAGATTTACTCCTTTGTTTCCTTCCAGAAGTTTTATAGATTTAGGTTTCACATTTAAGTTTGACTTAATTTTGTGTGTGATTTGAAGAAAAGGTCCATGTTTATTTCTCCCCATATAGATACACAACTATTACAGCACCATTTGTTGAAAAGATTTTTCTTTCCTTTCCTTTTTTTTTTTTTTTAATTTGAATGAGAGAGAGAGAGTGCAAGTGGGGAAGAGGAGCAGAGGAAGAGAGAGACAGAGAATCTTAAGCGGTCTCCACGCTGAGTGTGGAGCCGGATGTGGGTCTTGATCCCATGACCCTGTGATCATGACCTGAGCCGAAATCAAGACTCGGATGCTCACCCAAAGGAGCCACCCAGGAATCCCAAGATTTTCCTTTTCCCATTGACTTACTTTGGCACTTAAAAACACAGCTGACCATATATGTATTATTCTCTTTATGGACTGTATTCTGTTGCATTGGTCTATATGACTAGATCTTTGCCAATAACAAACTGTCTTGATTACTGCAGCTCAGAGCTTCTCAACCTCAGCTCTATTGAATTTTGGCTCCAGTAATTCTTTGTGGGAGAGGTAAGAG